AACTGCCAATTCATGGAGCAGCGAGGGAGGCGTTTGGATGGTGCCAACTCATGGCTGGCATGAGGTTCTCTCAGGCAAATCAGAAAGTTAGACAAAATGACGTAGAGTTGAAGCCCCAAACTCACAGCTGCCAGCTGCCTGCTGCCTGCATGGTAAGTCAAGCACAGTCTTTCTACTCCAAATGGAGACCTGACCCCTGCAGGCCAGTTGGGTCCTGTGGCATCTCTGGACATCACTGCTGTCTCTATGAAGCAGGTACCAAATTGGGGCAAAGCTGAGTCTTTGAGTCTTAGTTTAGTGGAGCTAAGAAACCAAACCTCCCCTGGGGAGTCCCAGGGACTATCCTGACCACCCTCTCCATTGGCAGAGTTTTACCTAGCAGGCCCGGATTTGACAACCCTTCCTAGGCCCCTTTGAGGCCAGAGTTTTGCTGGTGGTGGCATCAACTTTCCTAGCTTTGGTGGTGGTGGTGGGGTTGTTAGGACCCAATCAAACTGGGCTCAGCATTTCAGTTGAACTGGATGAGAGATAGCTGCTGTGTTAGCTTCCTCGGGCTGCTGTCATCAGTGGCCACAGACTGTGTGGCTTGAAACAACAGAAATTAATTTTCTCTGGGTTCTCACAGCTACAAGTCCAAAATCAACTCATCAGAGGAGCTATGTCCCCTCCAAAGTCTCTGCCTTTTCCAGATGCTCCTGGCATCCTGTGACTGTAGCCACATTACTCCAACCTCCACTTCTGTTGTCGCACAGTCTCCCATGTGTCTCTGTACCCAAATTTCCACTTTACTTGTAAGGACATCAGTCATACTGGAATTAGAGCCAACCCTAACACAGTATGTCTCCAATCTTTATTTGATTGCACAGGCAGACCCTATTTCTAAATGTTCACAGGTCCAGATAGACATGAGTTTGGGGGAGACACTATTCAACCCAAACACCTCCAAAGCTCAGTGTCAGCTTGACTTATTTTCCCCAAAGCAGTGGTACCCTGAGAAGTCTCCACTCCCTGTAATTGCTCCTCTGTGCTGGGCACCCCATGAGGCTTTGGGGACATGGAGGGGACAGAGCACACAGGATTGCCCTCATGGGAAGGGAGCCCACCACCCAAGCCCTGAAACTCCTGAGCAGGGCGAAGGGGTAAGGATAGCAGCTGGGAAGGGGACATGAGAGCATTGAGGGCTGGCCTGAGGGTCAGCAGGAGGCCTGCCACATGGGAGGGGCCTAGCTGGGAAAATTGGGTGTGAGCCAGAATGATAGGGTTCACTGAGTGTCTGAAGCAGTGTATGGACTGAGAGGGTGGCTGCATTAAGGACGCCATTCCAGAGGCAGGCTGTGGCTAGGTGGGGGCTCAGAAATGGGGTGGCTGTGTCACAGGCCAGCTGCCCCTTGATTTCAGGCTCCTGGGGTTAGGGGCTGGAGGCTGTACTCTGCCACCAGCCTTGGCCTTCTGATTACCATCTGGGGCTGTGGGGGCTCAAGGATGCCGTGGCCTGCCCCCACCCTACCGGTTAGTGTCGGCCCCAACGCCCACTCTGCTGCACGCGGATCCTACAGTTTCCCAGGCAACTGTCTCAATACAGCCTGTCTCCCCGGCACTCCGCACCCTGTAAATGCCACCGTGCCTGGCTCCCGCAGGCCTGCAGGTGTGGCAGAGCACGGCCCGCTGCCTGGCTGTGTCAGCAGGCTACTCTGGTGGAGGGGGCAGCCCAGGCCTCTTGGCTGTCCTCACTGGTGAACAGTCACTACCAGGGCACCCTGTGTGGGTGCCATGCTGGTTTGCCACATGGTGAGGGGGGAGGCAGCCAAGTGCTTTGAGCACGCTCCAGGCACGCCTGTCCACTGCAGGCTTCATTTGGAAAATGGGAGGCTGTGCTGCCTTCCTCAGGCCCCTGCCAGCTCTTTACTCCAGCTGATTCTCAAGGTGGCCTGATGTTAGAAACAATCCCAGGAAAAAGGAGGGTGTCGGCAAGTGAGTAGGATTTGGGCAGGCCCAGTCTGGCCAGCAGGTTTAGCCTAGCCTCCTGGCTGACCACCCTTGCCTTGGCATCAAGGCAGACCAGGACCTCTAGCTGAGACCCTGGGGGTCAGGACAGGATGGAGACAGCCCTGGCCTAGGGGGTGAGGATGCTGGGCTGAGACACTTGTTCCTAGATAGTGGGATGCTAGGGAGGCATGGCACCCCTGACCTGCTGGCAGCAGGCCTCACTACATTTCTGGGACCAGCTCTCCAGGGGTTCTGGTTGTTCAAGTACAGATGTGTCAGTAAACAGGGGGACACGGTGTGTGTGTGTGTGTGTGTGTGTGTGTGTGTGTAGGCTCCCAGCCGGCAAGTCTGGTGGGAGTGGTGGCTCTGACCTCACCCACCTGAGCACTTTGCACTTCACCTGAGGGGAGCCTTCTCCAAAAGGTTGAAATATTCTCTTATAAACATGAATTTTGGCTTGTAAAAACCTCGTTTCCACAGTGCAAGCGTCAGTCCCAACCAGAAGATTATTTTCCAATAAAGCTAAACTCTCTGTCACCACAGCAGATGGCTCGGAAAAAGTTAGTCTTTTCCTCAAGCTCTACTTGGAAACTTCCACCTCCACACCTGCCCTGCTGTGCACATAACTGGGGACAGCTGGGACCAGGTGGCTGTGTCAGAGGTGCATGTGCTCCCCACCCACCTCCCCACTCTGGCCTCAGAATGGCCAGGCCCCACACAGGCCTAGGCAGGAGGGGACTGGGAGGAGGGCTTCCCGACAATGGTACCTGCTATTGCTCAGAGCAGGGGTCACTCCAGCTCCAAGGTCTGCAGGAGGGTCCCAAATTGTAAGGCACAGGGCCTCCCACCCAGCCCCTCCCCACTTACAGACAGGAGAAGCCCCAGAAGGACAAATTTTACACACTGCGCTGGCTCTGTGTCCCAGAGCCCTCTGTTCTGCCAGCTAGCACAGGACTGGCCTGGGGTCCTAGCCTTCTCTTGGTGGCCAAGGGTAAATGAGGCCCACAGGGGTGGCTAAGGTGAAGGAGAGTGGGGTGTCCTGTGCTGTTCTGCTACAGGCTGGGGCACCCCCAAGGGCATGTGCCTCACTGGAGTCAAGGTACCTAAAGCTGAAAGCTCCCTGAGGAGCCCACAGCTGTCATAGCACAATTGTCCAGGGGCCATTTGAGACCCTTCCTTGCTCCTGCCTTGTTTTGCCCCTCTTGGGCTGAGTGGCCCAGTACCTGTGTGGGGAGGCCAGGTGGGCAAAAGTGGCAGTGTTTGGGCTCCTAGGTGTGGGAGTGTTGGGTCCTCCCACTCAGAAAGGCACCTGTTCAGGAGCAGCAACTGCCCACACAAGTAGCCCTCACAGGTTCCACAGGACACCTCATGTCTCTTCTCCAGGTCCAGGGCAGGGGCCTGAGGTCCTCAAAACTCTGTCTAAGGGGACCCAGCACAGGGCAGGAGAGGGCCACCAGGAGAAAAGTGGGCAGGGGCCTTAGGTCCAGCAGTGGACCCTGGGGTGGAGGAAGCCAGAAGGTGGAAGGGAGAGGAAGGCAAAGACATGGAGCCTGGCACAGCCTTGAGAGCTGAGCAGGTGCTCTCTTGGTCACTGGCCTGCCTTATGCTTTGGAAGGCTGGCACCAATCCTCCTGGACATCACCAGAGCCCCCATATAGAAGCTTGGTGGTGACACTTCTAGGAGAGTCCCCGAAGCTCCAAAGCTGAAGCCAGGGCCAGCTGGGACCGGTCAGCTGGCACCTACAACATGCTGGACACAGGACATGGAGCACCCACATCTGGGCTTCTCTCTCCTGAGAGCAGGCCTGGGTTCAGGCCACCTCCTATAGGGCCCACCCTGACTGCAGCAACTCCCCTTGGTCTCCTGGGCAGTGCCCATGGCTGTATCTCCATTGGCTCAGCTTGTAGGGTCTGCGTTCCCGCAGCTGGGGGGCTCTTGGGGTGTCCAAGGTGTAAACAGTTCCTGGCACAAGCAGGCACTCAAGTCATCAACAAACTTGCTCATGCTCTTAAGGTCTGCAGGGGATGAAGGGTGACCTCAGCACAAACCCTGTCCCGGACCCCTGGATACTAACCCCAACCTCTAGGCCTGGACAACTTGGAGAACAGTGGGCCATTCAGGTGGCCACAGCTCAGGGACAGGCCTACGGTTAGCACTCTGGAGGGAGTGTACACACATCCCAGGCAGGTGAGAGGGCAGGTGCAGGAATGTGCCCAGCACACCCCAGAACTGCCAGGGTTGGGCAGGGCAGAAATGGACAGGGCTCCCAGGGTCCTAAACTCCTCTACTGACGTCTAACAGTGGCCCCTAACACCCACCCCCTGCAGACACCAGTCCCGTGAGGGCAGGGGCCCCCACTAGGGCCCAATGTGGTGAGGGTGGGGGCAGTGCGGGAGGGGTTGGGGGAGGCGGGTGGTTGGGCCACGGGGTGCGGGGCACTTCCTGGAACTGCCCAGGGTGTCTAGGCATCTGCTGCCACCAAGTGGCAGACATGGAAGGCGCCTGGTTGGAGAATGGGGGGGGGGGGCAGGAGGGAACGGGGGTTCAGGGAAGCTAGTTACCGGCCCCCAGGAGCCCAAGGCCCCAGTTAGCCGCCTGGACTTCGTCAGTTTGCCTTTTCTTTCTTAGCTAAGGAAAGTGGGCGCCCTCTCTTCCGTAAGGAAACGTGGCAGCAAAGGAGATCCAGGGCTTTATTTACTCACGGAGTACCAGGAAGAGCGCTGGAAGCCCGGCACGGCTGTCCAAGCTGCTGGCGGTGGTAGGGCCAAGGCCCCACCGGACTCTCGGCCGCGCCCCACTCTGCCGGGAGGGGGTTCTCACCCCAGTCCCACCCTGCGCAACAAGAAGGAAGCCTGGTCTCAGTTTCCCCAAGGCTGCGTCTAGGTTTCTAAGCTGCCGCAGCGCGGCCGGCAAATTTCACCCCGCTGCCCTACGGGCTGCGGGGCGGGGTCTGGTCGGGCGGGGCGGAGTCTGTCCTGGGGGGCAGGGTCTGCCCTGGGGGCGGGTCTGGAAGGTTGGTATTGGCTTCCGCCGGACGCGCTCACTGGGATGATGGAGGAGGCTCCGAGGCAGCGCCTGAGGCTGAGACGCCGGAGGGCTCCTTCAGGGGACGGGTGAGGCTGGGACTGGGGGCGCTGTCAGGGCGGGGGAGGCACGGGGTGCGGCCAGCTTGAGGGCCTGGCGTCCCCGGCCGAGCTGAGGCCAAGTCACGCTCCCACGTGCTTCTTGGACCCCCCTTCTCTTCCGCGCCGTCAGCTCCCGGCGCGTCTCCAGGCCTCTCCGAGGCTGAGCTCCGGGCCTCAACCCCGCGTACCCCACCCCCAGCGGCCTCCCGAGTTTCCCTTGCTGATCGCCTACCCCACTCCCTGTCGCCCCAGGCCCCACAGCGGCCGTCCCTGGTTTCTCCTGGAGGGCAACAGCGAGAGCGAGCGGCTCTGGATCGAGCTGCTGCGCACTGTGAGCCCAAATCTGACCCTGGATGGCGAGCTGCCGCCGCTGCCTACCTTCCCCGGCCAGGTGCGCCCACCAGAACCCGCGGGGGGTAGTGGTGGGGTCTCCAGGCCCGGGAGGAGCCTTGGTACTCCTGGGCAAGGCCCAACGACCCCTTGTTTTGCAGGAGTCCAGGGGCAGCCCAGAGCGCCCGGCGCCCCCCGAGGTCTTCACGGTCGGACCCAAGACCTTTTCCTGGACGCCCTTTCCACCGGCCCCGGCGGGCTCAGGCCACTCCCACGGGCCTCTCTGCGGGGCAGGAAGACGCCCGGAGTCCCCCACCAGGTCCCCTCAAGTACACCCTGCGCCTAGACCCAGGGGGACCCCCACCGCCAAGGAGCAGTCGGCTGTGGAGGGGGCCCTGGCCCTGCAGAGCTGCCCGATGTGCCAGAAGGACTTCGCCCCGGAGTGAGTGAGCTCTCCCATTCCCCTCTGCCTAGCGACTCCAGCCCCATGTGGAAAGCTAAGAGAGTACCTTTTATGTTAGTTTTCTTTGTTTTGAGACAGGGTCTTATTCTGTTGCCCTGAGGAAGTGCAGTGGGTCATCGTAGTTCATTGCAAGGACCAGCACCTGCTGGGATCAAGCAGTTCTGCCTTGACCTCCCAATGTGCTAGGATTACAGGTGTGGGCCACTGGGCCCAGTCTTAGAGGGTACCTTTTATTATTTATTTATTTATCATTTTTTTGAGACAAGAGTATCACTGTGTTGCCCCAGGCTAGAGTGCTGTGGCATCAGCCTAGCTCACAGCTTCTGCCTGTCTCAGCCTCCAGAGTAGCTGGGACCACAGGCACCCACTACCACGCCTGACTAGTTTTTCTATTTTTAGTAGAGACTTGGTCTCATTCTTGATCAGGTTGATCTTAAACTCCTGAGTTCAAGAGATCTCCCTGGCTTGGCCTCCTGGAGTGCTGGGATTACTAGCATGAGTACCAGTCCCAGCCTAGAGGGTGCCTTTAAAATTGTGTCTGATTCACAGAAAGTTGGCATAATGCGTGACTGTCCAGGGGGCATAATGCGTGACTGGCTGTTAACTGGTTTGGGGATCCACCTACTTTCTACCTTCTGAGGCCCTGTGTATAGGCTTAAGGCCCGTATAGGGAGCTCTGACCAGGGTCTACCTTGCCCTTCCTGGCTAGCATCCCCAGGCCCAGAGGTGGCCTCCAGGGCCAAGCCAGGCTGTGGGTTATTGCAGTTTCCTATTTAAATAGCCACATGAATACTTTGCCACTGGTAGTAGGTTTTAAAAGGAAGACCGTGTCTTTTTTGTCTGGAGATGCTTTTCCTTATTTTTAAAATCCAATACATATATATACATATATATATATATTTTTTTTTTTTTTTTTTGAGACAGTGTCTTACTACATCACCCTGGGTAGAGTGCCGTGGCATCGCAGCTTACAGCAACCTCAAACTCTTGGACTTAAGCGATTCCCTTGCCTCAGCCTCCTAAGTATGTGGGGCTACAGGTGCCCACCACAATGCCTGACTATTTTTTTTTTTTTTTTTTGGTTGTAGTTGTCATTGTTTGGCAGGAGGCCCAGGCTTGATTTGAACCCACCAGCTCCGGTGTATGTGGCTGGTGTGTTAGCCGCTGAACTACGGGTGCCAAGCCCCAATACATATTTTTATACCTTTTTTTTAAATAGGGGGATGAAACCCAGTTTTGCTGAGAGGTTAAGCACAAACTGCCAATGTGTAGGCCTGGTGTCTTATGGGCCCTGGGGCTTCTTGCTGAGAGTCAACAGGGTGTGGGGTCAGGAGAGGTTGAGTGCACTTGAGAAGTTCTTAATGAGGTGGTTAAGCCAAATAGGTGGTAGGTTTTAGATTTCATGTGGCCAGAAGACTGGGTACTTAAGCTATGCCCTATGTTACTGGTCTTCTAGAAGCAAAAATAGCTAGGGAAGGTGAAGGGAATGGATTCTAAAGTTAGCAGCTAAGGATAACAAAAAACAAATCAAAACAAAAGCACAAAATGATCCAGTTAGTTATCTAAGTATACAGAACAAAACCTACAGGAGAGGACCAGAGAAATGAAATCCCCAGACTAATAAAGAGTGACACTTCATGGGAACCAAGCCCTTAAGGGCCAGTGTTGGAAGTGAACCCAGAAAGTACCCTGGACTGTGCTACTGCCCATCTGCATTCATGTCTAGACAGCTTGGTGGGGCGGGGGTGGCTCTCCCCATGTGGAGTCCCTTGCGGGTGAAGCCATAGCCACATAAGTTGGGCTCAGTGGTCAGCTGGAGCTACGTCCAGGGCACAAGGCACACAGCACTGCATGTTTTGTGAATGTTGTAAGCTGCAAACACCGGTCACTTATAGGTCATGATAAATGTTTTGAAGGGAGTGAGTCCTCTTGATTCTAACCCAACAAAAGAAACTTGAGAAGATCCTGTTGGAAGCCCTAGAGAGAAATCCACTCTCTGGGCAGAAGCCCCTGAGATTCTCAAAGGACCCCCACTGAGGGATACCGCCTGGAAACATACCCCTGGATAAGATGGCCTAGGCCCAGATTTTAGAACCTTCTGGTAGCTGGCTGAGAGCATGTGGAAGGAGGGGCTGCTTCCAAGGCGGGGCTGAAGCCTGAAAGTCTCTGACCAGCTGAGTGGCTCTCGGGGACATGAGACTGTACTGAGTGGGCTCTGCCCATGCCAAGAGGGCAGCTGATGGCCACAGAGCGGCACCAGGAGTTGTCAGAATCCTGCTTTAACAGTGCAGGTGGGGACCTCTGGCCATGATCTGAAGGAGGCAGCTGAGAGCTACAGTGGCCGTGTGGACAGGCTAAGCCACAAGGAATGATCCAGAGCAGAGTCTGGGGTACAGTGGCTGGCAGGCAGATGTAGGAAGGCTTGGTGCTGATGGCTTGGTAGACCTGGCTACTGGTGCGGTGGGGGGGCGGCAGCAGTGGTGTCCAAGGGACAGTCACTCTGACCACCTGGCCTCCAGCAGCCCACCATCTTGGCTGCTGTTGCCCACAGTTCTGGGCATGGTCTCAGCAGCACTATCAAGTGCCCTGGTTTTGCCCCCTTGGGGTCACAGCTGGGAGCTAATGGTTTACCAGCCTCAAGCTCACCTTGCTTTGCCGGAGCCTGGGGACAGTCATTCCTGACTCCCTTCCTTGGGCTGCTAATGGGGCCAGATGAAGTTAGGGCTGGAGAGTGCCTGCCTGTCCGGATGCCCAGGGGCCGACAGCAGGCCCAGTCCACAGTGGGCTCAGTCCTGAGCTGCAGGACCACCACCCACGTCTGCCTTTCTGCTTCCTGTAAGACAGTGGTAGCTCTGCCTGGCAGGGACACTACCTTCCTACCTTGCCTGTCCAGGCTGGGAATGGGAGGGATTTCTGTAGGAAACCTTCTGCCTTGGCTGCTTGGTGATCTAGAACCCCTTAGTGTCCTGCTGCTGCAGGCAGGGGTGAGGACAGCCCATCCTAGACCCTAAGACCAGACACTGTCAGGCCTCATCTGCCAATTCCCTTGGCTCCAAGCCCAGTGGGTGCCAGACTCCCTGGGGGGCTCAAACACTGTGCCTGCGGAGAACTTTCAACTTGGAGAAGGGTTTGGGAGAGGTGGTTACAGTCAGTGTGTCACCTAGGCTTGTAGGGGCCCCTCCTTTCACCAAGGGTGGGGCGTGGAGGGGCAGTGAAGTGCCTGGCCAGGTGGTGCCCTTGCTGCAATTGACTCTGCACAAGGGGTGGCTGAGCAACTGTGTCTCTTCTTCCCGCAGGTTGACCCAGCTGGACATAGACGTCCACCTTGCTCAGTGCTTGGCAGAAAGCACTGAAGATGTGTGGTGAGCATCAGGGTGTTCAGAGCCCCCACCAGGGCAGCATGCAGCCTCACTCCCCACCAGAGTCCTGCTCTGAGATGTGCACATGTAAACTGTCAGTCGTGTCTCTTCCAGCCTGAAACTGGGCTTCGCCACAGTGAGAGCTGAGACTACGTGTGGAACCCCTTTTCCTCACAGATGCAGCAGCCATCCTGTGTGGGCCGGGCAGACTAGCTCGGGGCAGTGTTTTTTTCCAGCCACAAGGACAGATAAGGTTGGCTCACATCTCACGCTGTTAATTCCCCAAAGAGAGTGCCCATTCCTTGTATGGCTGCCAGTTGAGGGCACTGTCACTGTGCTGTCATATGTCTGTGTCCCTCAAGTCCTCATCACCCCAAGGGGATGGTGTCAGAAGGGGCCCTTGGGACATATCAAGTCATGGGGATGGGTGGTGCCTCACGATTGGGTCACAGGGTTCTTCCACCTTGTGAGCAGGGGCTGCCCACAGTCCACAAGTGGCCCCAGAGCCTGACTGGTATTGGAGTTGACACACACTGTCAGGGGCTCTGGGACCTCAGCACTGACTGGCAAGACTCGGAAGCAGCTTCTTCTCAAAGGAGGACTGGCAGCAGACGGTCCCGTCCTGTTGAGGCTGACAGTGTGGGTGGGAGATGGGGCAAATGCATCTCTGCAGGGCCTCCTTCCAGTGCTGTCTGGCTGGGCTTGGGGCTGCTCAGTGCCAGTCACTGGCGCCTGCAGGGTCCAGGGCACCAGCCAGGGGGAGGGACAGGCGCCATGTGAAAACTTGAGTAATACCTAGAAAACCAATCCCTATTTTCCTTTCAAGCATCTTCAAAATGTCTTGACAGGCTAGGCGCCTGTGGCTCAAGTAGCTAAGGCGCCAGCCACGTACACCCAAGGTGGCGGGTTCGAATCCGCCTGGGCCTGACAAACAACAATGATGGCTGCAACCAAAAAACAGCCAGGCATTGTGGTCCCAGCTATTCAGGAGGCTGAGGCAGGAGAATCGCTTGAGCCTAGGAGTTGGAGGTTGCTGTGAGCTGTGATGCCACAGCACTCTACCCAGGGGGATAGCTTGAGGCTCCTGTCTCAAAAATAAACAACAAAAAAAATGTCTTGACAGCCACAGGGCGGGGGGGGGGAGCACATTACTAACTGGGGGAGGCCACTCTGACAGCCCCACTGCCCGGCTCTGACTCTGGCATTCTGGAAAAGGCAAAACTGGCAACAGTGAAGAAACCCGAGTCTCCAGGTTGGGAGGGGCACAGGGCATTGGCAGGACAGCGAGACGTGTGAGGGGTGGTGGGTCAGTGTCACTGCACGTCTGTCCAGTCCCACAGGCTATGTCACCAGCAGTGAAGCCTGATGTGAACTGTGGTCTCAGGGTGGGGTGACATGTCAGGGTAGGGTCATCACTGTGACAGGTGCACCCTCTGGGGGGTGTTGATTGGGAACGCATTCTGTTTTGCTGCTAATCTAAAACTGCTCTAAGCAAATTAAAGTCCATTTAAGAAAATGGCTCCAAAAACCTTTACTTCTTCAAAACACTTTTAACAAAAATAATAACAATATAAGAATTTTCATTAACGTCTTTAATAAATGTTCAAGAACACAAATGCCGGCTCGGCGCCTATAGCTCAACTGGCTAAGGCGCC